TCTAACATGCTTCTCCAAAGGAAAAGATATTCTGTCATATCTTAGAAAATCGAACATTATTCCATATCATGTAACAGTCCGTACAAAAATCTTCTGAAATGTCCCTCAAATGTCTTTAGTGGCCATGCTGAAGTAATTAAAAAATCAATCCAAGCTGGATCCAGCATATAGGCTGATAGTCCCAGCTACTCTGGTGTCAAAGGTGAGAGAATTATTTGCCCCTAGGAGTTAAATTCTAGCTTAAGGACTCAAAACACACACACACACACCCCAAAACCAAAATAAACAAGCAAAAAAACCCACCCACCAAACCAAAACCAAAGAAAGATGGTTCAGAGGTTAAGAGCACTAGTTGTTCTTCCAGAGGTCCTGAGTTCAATTCCAAGCAACCACATGGTGGCTCACAACTGTCCGTAATGAGATCTGGTGCTCTCAGCTGGTGTGCAAGTAGAATACTGTATACGTAGTTTTTGATATATATATATATCAAAATTCTTATAGATGCTCCTACATTCCAGTTTCGTTTTACTATAGACAGAGATCAAATGCTACACCAATGGTGTGGTAGAACTTTGAGTGTATTTACAACTTATCTAAATATTTTAAAAATAAAGTTGGCTTTTTAAAAATCAGTCTTACCCAACATTTGAGGCATTTTACACCATAAGGGTTCCTTCCTTGGGATACTGTCAGAAATAAATGTCCCTAAGTATAACTGTCTTTTCAGATCACGAACAGTAACATCTTTACAAGTGAGAAACACATACACCCCACACAGTAGTGGTTTATCGCCATCTGAGACTATGTAATATGAAAAAGGGAAAACTAGACAAAAACTTCCATTACATTTTTATTGATATGTTCTTAGTCTCTAAGATTGTTAGCTGTACTCTCAAAGTCAACAGATAACTAAATTAATATTAATTTTTATCAATTTATAAGAGCTGAGGAAAGATTTAGAGTATGTCTAGTGTGGAAGGCTTTTTTCATCACTAAAAGAGAATTTTTTTCTCTCTCAAAAAAATGTTTTTGAGATAGGATCTCACTATGTGGGCCAGGCTGGTCCCAAACTAAAACTCTCCTTGGTATTGAAATTAACAAGAGAATAAAATCTCAAGGAGTTACTTGATTTCCCAAGTGTAAGCACCATGAGCTAAACATGCTCATTCTCTATCTTACCAATGAGCCCAGTGACTAGGAAAGGTCCACAAAAGCAAAATGGCAAAACTGGGGCAATGCATGACCAAAACCCATTTTAATCTACTACATAAAGTCCATCTACAGAGGGTAACAATGACAACTTCCAGTTTGGTCATTCATGTGCTTACGCTTTGTATCACCTGAAGAAAGGCCAGGGTGACAATTTTGAACAGCTCATGCAGAGTTCTCTATGGCTTCCTTACTGCTAAACCCAACTTATCCTACCTCTTGCCAAAACACCACCACTATCTCTCCCTTTCTTGAGAACTATTTATGCCCCGTGATTCACTCATAGGTCTTGTGCAACAACCCTGATTACAATACCATTATTCGAACAATCTAAAACCTTCACAGTTGAAGGTAGGGGTGGTAAGTATCTCTCTAGTGTCTAGCAGAGTATAAACTTTAATGAATTGCAATTAAGTCTCAAAAAGAAAGGAAATTCAATTTAAAACTTTTGCAACTTTCTAATTTAATAGAAATAACCAAAACAATGTGGTTTTTAAACAAGGCTTCGAACTAATCTAATACAACTTCTACAACACATTTCAGAGCATTGTAACAGGAATTATTTACAGGCAGCTAATGTATTAAATAACCATGAAAAGAAAAAGCTTGCTTTTATTACACGGCAGCAAAAAACACAGGAACAGAACAAATAGAAATTGTTACTTTGTTTAAAAAATTAAATATGATCATTTAGAGAATACCACAGAAACAGCACGCTTTAAGAATCATTCTGAAGGGTAGTTAACTATGTGCAAAAATAGTAGTAGTAATAACGAGGAGGAGACCAGTTGAAATACTGGAAGCAAGGAATTAGTAAGGCTGTGACTTTAACCCTTTAGTGTGTGCATTTGTCTACACAGAAAAATTAACAGGCTTTCCAGTTGCGCACACCTTGCGTTACAGGTTTACACCCAAGTTTCACTGCTCTAAAACACAGTAAAATGCCTACATTTCTCAGATCAGGAGCAGACATGCATTTCATTCTTAAGAATGAAATTTAGGCCACAACTGAATGGAGTATTGTGGCACTTAAAAATCATTTTGGTGCCTTCATAGGAATTTGTTGAATGAAACAGTTATCATTTTCAGTTTTTAAATAACATTTGCTAGAAAAGGGTTAACCTTGATTCTATACATTCTGTAGTTTAACAAATATACCCAAGTTACTTTTGAAGATAATTTAGCTTCTAGATACAATAAAAATATATAAAGGATCATGTAAAGAAATGGAAGTAACTAAGACGGGATAGATGCACTTCTGATCAAGTAAAACATGCATTTAGCCAAGTAAAGAAGTCGTTATACCTAAGAGTAAATGCTGACATTGGAAATGTCTATGTAAACTGTGGCATATAAACTTTTTTCTTTAAAAAAGTACCTTCAGTTTTTTTTTCTCAAACAGCTACTTTTAAAAAAATATGCAACTTTCCCCAATTTTTTTAAAATAAAATGCCACAATATATTGTCATTACTTCCAGCATACATTTAAATTTCTTAATTCTTTAAAAGATAGATTGGGTGATATGCATACAAACTTTCCTATAAAATCACCATCCAGGAGAGGATTATGACATGCTATTAGGCAACAGACTGAAAGCAGCATTATTGCTTTATCAAGGAAGCATTAACTGGAAGAAGTAAGTTAATCCAGGTAAGGTGTACAATCTAACTGCAATACACCTTGAAAATCTTAATCTCCTTCAGCAGATAATTAGTAAAGAGGCAAGAATGGTGTGTACACTTGAATATTGAGTATGAGACATGTGTGGAGGTGTGTATGCTTGCATGTTGTATGAAAGCATATGTGGAGATGTGTGTGAGGGCATGTGTGCTAGTGTGCATGTGTGAAGGTCAGAGGACAACTTCAGATGTCAGTCCTAGCCTTCCATCTTCAAGAGAGGGTCTCAGCACTGGATCCTTCAGGTTAGCTGGCCAATGGGCTTCCAGAGCTCTACCTCTATCTCCTTCCCATCTTGCTGTAGGAGCACTGGACTTCCAGATGCACACTACTGCACCCACCGTTACTTAGGTGCCTGGGATCCAAACCCAGATCATCATGCTTATGAAACAGTGCTTTTCACCCACGAACCATCTCCCCAGTCCAAAGAAGCTGTTTTAATTCAGGGAGTTAGCATAGGTAATTTTTATTTTCTTAAAGTTCTATTAACAAAGCTACTTACTGATCCGACCCAAGCTGGCTACAAGAAATGGAATTGTACTTCATGTGTTGTATGTGAATGAGGCTGGGTACCAGATGTAAAGACCAAGGGAGGAGGACTACAGCATCTACTCCCCATTTTGGGTAGAACAGGCTGTTTCGTAACACATGGTAAGCCACAATGCCAGGGCACAATCGGATGACCTCTAAATCTGGTGACTTACTAACACTACTCACTAAAACTTACATGGCAGGATACCTGCTGAGGTAATTGATAAATCTATAATTTGAACACTTTAAAGCATTATGTCTTTGGATTAACTAAAAAATCTCAAAACCTGTTATAAGAATGAGAACTGTCTTTTAATAACCTAAAATTCCCTCATAAGAAACAAAAAGGGAGGGGGAATCAAAAAACCCACAACCTGTTGATTTCAAAGGGGGCAATTTCAGCAGGGGATCTAGTGCTTCACCATAGCTCCATGGTAACAGTTTGATGTTTGCTTGTTAGGGTCACAATCTAACCAGATTATAGAGCCCTCACACATCAGTGGCATCTGAGAAAGCAGTTCATTCCCTCAGTCAAGCAGTGGAAGGGCTAAGATAGGTAAATTAAGGCCAACAGAACAGGGTGAGGACCACATATTCTTAGTTCTCTGATGCAAAAAAATAAAGTTTCCATTTGAAGGGATCATCATGTGGACTCTTCTCCATATCTGAGATAGAGGCTCTAAAAAGGGATGCAAACATTCAGGACTTAAGAGACATTCTGAATTTGTCTTCTGAACATACAAACAGGGAAATGCAAGATAACTTGAATAAAAATGTAAGTTTCTATACTTTTTTTTTTTTTTTACCATGCTCATGTTAAAGCTGAGCAGCCTGGAAACACAATGATCAGCATGCAAACAGGGTTTTATGAAAGCTCAAGTGAGTCTAACTTAAGAGTGGCTTGTCGATGGCAATTACATTAATTCCTCAGCAGTAGGGTATCTTTGCTAACAGAAATGGAGCCTATTTTATACACTGACCATAAAGAAGCTGCTAAACTGACAGTCTTAAACTAAAAGAAACAAAGGGAAAATAAAAATCCCAAGTAACATGAGAATGACTTTAGGAAACATATTCTCTCTTAGGAATTCAAAGATTGAGAAACTTAAAATCTGTGTTTGCCTCACTTGACAGAGCTTATTTATACCTTATTACTAAGAATTTGTAAAGGATTAATATGAGAAGTGAATATAAAACACCAGCCCAGAAGCTTCACAAAATGAAGTTAATCTCCTACTCCCCCACTTGCCAGAAATGTGCCCTTAGACATACAACTACTTACAAATTAGAATCATGGATATAAAAGAAAAGAGAAATAGGTACAAATAAAACATCTTAAAATAATTTTTCTTCCCCTCATAAAAAACAGAATGTGAAACTTCAATAAAATGATAAAAACAGTTTGGAGCATTTTTTCAGTAAATGCTTAATTTATAAGGAAAGAGAAGCTAGAAGGAAGCCAGAAGATGAAGCAGTGATATGATCAATACTGTTTTGAGTGTAGCTTAAATGAGAAGGCCTAAATAATACTCCTCTATACCCACATCCCTTGTTAAGAAAAAACCCAAAAGAATCTGTATAATAATTTCTTTAGAGCACTTTATTTGATTCAATGCACACTAAAAATATTCACTTCTTCGACAATTACGTCAAATTTTTCTGAGGAAGTCTACAGTCTGAACTGCTTAAACTGATTTTAAGAGGCAAATGATTTGCCACACATCTGCTGACACCTGAAACATTTCTGATGTTGAATTCTACTTTGGTCACTTTATAATTCTACTGTGTCCATACAGAAGTAGGACTACAACTTTTAATCCAACGGAGATGCGCACACAGTCTAGAGCACACTTGATTTGAGCATCACAACAAAGAGGAGAAAATAAACCAGATCAAGTTGGTCTTTCTGCTTCAGGTACTACTCCTGTCATCAGGTAGTAAATAAAGTTGGGTTTACTCCAATTAGCATTCAAGTGGGGATTGGCTCGTTTTCAGGATTTACTTACAGGTCTCTCTTCTAAGTCATTTAAAGCCCCCAGTCCATGCACATGTCCCACTTGGTGGACAGATGAGTAATCTAACCCCACCGGGTTTATTTCAATATTTTGATATTTCAATAATAAGCTGCTTCTGAAGATTTTTTTGAGAAGTCTGTTCTCTATTAAAATAAGATAGAACCTCAAAATATGAATGTGAACATTAGAAATAGACAGCATATATTACAAATCCATTCTTGATAGGAACATTAGTAAGAATACACATTAGCTTAAAAAACAGGCTCAGCAAATGTTGCCGATCTGCCAGAAGTCTGAGCTCACTATTTACAAATAAGACAAAGTGAAATACAGAAAATTGTACACATTTGGTAGCTGACAGATTTCTGTTTACCAATAATGGTCTACTGGAAACTGGTACAAAGAAAGACTGGGCGAGAGTCAGTTGTTACCTTTTCAATCTAATTTACAAATACAGAAAGTTCTGAAATAAATGTTCTGCCTTGAGGGAGTAACTAACTGTATGATCGGGTGATGTTTAGAAGGGTTTCCTGGAAATGACTTTCTATCAATCTGTGTGATCCACTACTCAAAGTTGTAATCACATTCATTTCAGTACACCATTGAAGCTGACTAGATGTTCAATGGTTATGTTCCTAGACCCTACATCTAAGTAGAAAATAAAACTAAACCAAGGCCCAATAGATCAAAATGAGACAAAATACAGTGGCATGATTCAATGCATTTTTCTGGCATTCAAGTGGAAACCGATCTACTCCATTTTCAACCAGAAAACAACTCATTGGTGTCTATGTAGGAGGAGGCTTAGAAGTTGTCTGAGTAACTGTGTGTTCTAGTAGAGACACATGATAGGATTGCCTGACTCAGTATCCTGCACCAATTAACACACATGATCATGTAGGTTTCTAACAGCCAGAAAACCATTTTCAAACTCTTTCACGTCTGAATTTGCTCTTACTTTAAAGTTGCAGAGCTCTCCCCGTTTCTTGACAACAATGTTTTCTGTGTCCATTATTTCAATCTAATACTGTATGAAAGCTACCAGCTTCTTTAAGGAGGTACCCACTGTACACAGGATATTCCAGTAACACTTAAATAAAAGAGCGTTTTGTTTTGTTTCCTTCTTCTGTTCTTTCTTCTTAAAAACAACTGATTTAAATCCACGTCACTTTATTTTATGTGCACCGGTCTCTCGTCTGACTTTAGGCGCTTTCTGCGAGGCTGTATAAAGTCTTCATCAGAGTCTTCTGTCACTTCGCCATCATCCTCTTCCTGCTCAAACTCTGGCAAAGGAGCGAAGGTCCTGTCTGAGTAGATCTCTGAGAGTTTATCTTCAAAGTACAATGCAACTGCTTTCCCTGCCTGAGCTACTTCTGAATCAGCCTGCAAGCAAAAGACAGGAATATTCACCTATTGATAATGCATATTCCTTCACCAAGTGTGCATGGTCTGAAAAGCTTACCTTCAAATTAATCTCTTGTGTGTCTGCATAAACTTGAACAACTTTCATCATCTAAAAAGGATACCAGAGTCAAAAAAAAAAAGGGAAATTATAATCCTTTCTAAAGTTAAGAAACTGTATAGGATTGGTGACGAAAGTCAGCCATACTAGGGAGAACAAATAGCTAAAACCAGACTAAGTGCTATCTAAAATTCTATAGAACATGGAACCACTTTCTTTATGAAACTGTTAATAAAGTTACTTTGAACCTCAATAACAGTCTCATTCCAGATTATTGAGGTAAATCTTAGGAAATGGTCTGAAGACATCAATCTACTTAAGAGAAAAATACTCGTAAAACAAATAAAAGAAATGCTATTTTAAAAACGGTCAAACTTTCCACAAGATAATCAGAATTCTATCTTTATGGCAATACATTAATCACAAATTAATTTTTTTCCGTTTTGTTTTTGAGACAGGATTTCCCTACACAGCCCTGGCTCTCCTGGAACTATTCACTATATAGACCAGGCTGGCCTAGAACTAGCAAAGATCTGCCTGCCTCTGTCTCCCCAAGTGCTAGAATTAAAGGTGTGTGCCATTGCCTGGTTTACAAATTAATATTTGTAATAATTTATTTAGTATGTATGTAGGTATGTATGTATATACGTACACATACAGTGTGCTGCCTGCATATATGCCTTAGACACCAGAAGAGGGCACCAGATCTCAGTATAGATGGTTCTGAGCCATCATGTGGGTGCTGTGAATTGAACTCAGGTCCTCTGGAAGAACAGCCAGTGTTCTAAAACACTGAGCCATCTCTCCAGGCCTGAACTAACTCATAATAAAACAAGCAAAATGTGTCTTTTTGGCAATAACAGTATACAATACCATATCCATTTGAAAGTAATTTTTTTTAAAGAAACCAAAAGAAAATCTGGATTTTTATAGTTTGTAAATTTGAAGTAAGATTTTACTGATTCTGTGGCAAATCCTAAGATTTTGGTTTGGGTATTAAAGCCTTGAGAGACAGCTATCAGGACTTGGGTTCTTATATAAGACATTTTCTTCTCTTATAACAGAAATCATCCACAATAACAAACTTGACTTTATTCCAAAGATAACAATAGTAATTCCCCTAACCAGAGATTATCTGTCAAATTTTTCTTTAAGGCTATTTCTTTAGCCTCCAAGAAATAGTTAAGTTAATGAAAGTCTCATTGTAGAAACTAATCCCTCACCCCTCACCATTACATATTGGGGCTACTATCCAATGGTTTAGTCTTATGTTTATGTGGCCAGAGACAGAACTAAACATGGGCACTGTTAGGTTTCCCATAAGTGCCCCAAATGTGGGCACACATAATCAAATTACTTCAGATTACTGTCTATATTCAACCACAATTCCTTTAGGAAAGGATATTCAAGAACACTCTTAGTGTCTTATTAACTAAGAATATATTCCAAATTATAAATAATAAACTTTCTTCTCTGTAGCTGAGAATAAAATCAAATTTCACTTTTATAGAATGAAGCTTTGCTTTTTATAAAATGAAAAAGAATAACAAAATAAACAATAACAACAATAAAAAAACCAAAATTAAGAAATTCTATCATCAGGAGAAAAAAATAAAAAAACAAAACCAAAGAACTAAGCAAAGGAACACTAACAAGCCAATACTCTATAGGTTGGAAGCTAACATACTTCATTAAACCTTTCACAGTTCTTGAAGATCAAACGGACATCAGCCACAAAATCATCTGGGATTTGGTAATGCTGGGAATGTTTTTTCTGAAGCTTCTTTTTCACCGTCGATAAATCCATTGGTTTCTTTATAATTTTATAGTAGTTTGGTATCTAAAAAATAAATCATGGCAGATCAGAATCCTCTAAATATCAAGGTAATTAAATTCTAAAGTATTTAACTTGAAAATAAGTAAAGCACATTAATTACATTTGAGGTATGTATTTCAAGTTTCCTATCCCAATCATGTCTTGAATCCCAAATCTCACTGCAAAATATGTGTTGGTTTCCATAGCTACTGGAAGTTCCCAAGGTCCTATCATTGATAAATATGAACAGAAAACAGCAACCAGCAGAAAGTTGCCTCGCTCAAAACTTAGATATATCCAGCTCATCTGGTACTTGATGACTCTTAAGAGCTCTTATAAAAAATGTTTAAAGAAGAAAGAAAAAACTTTTTAAAGCATATTAATGTTATGGTTAAAGCACAGTGTTGTACAAGACATCACCATCTCACAAAGAAATCTCAGTAACACTGGAAGAAAAGTTTGCATTTAGTGTTCTGACTTCACCTTTGGCCAAAAGTTTTTGACCCATAAGTGAACACGGTAAAGCTGCTTCAGAGTTTCGGGTACTGTTCTGAGACAGAGTCTAGTATACAGATCTCAGACTGGCCTCGAAGATCCTCCTGCCTCAGCCTCCCAAGTAGCTACCACATTGGAAGTGCTACCATACTGAGCTACAGGCTATCTGAATAGGGCATGAAAAGAAAACACTAGGAAGTTATTTTCTAGTGAAATCCCTGAACTTAAGAGGGTTTCTAGAATCAATGACTAGTACTTGTACAAGACACTTTCCGTCTGTTAAATCTTTTACATTTAAAATTAATTTCTTAGCTTACTTAACAAATAGGTCAGCTACCAATTAATAGTCCGTTAACATGTTGACATAAAACGACAAATAGCTAACAAGTACATATAGCACATTTACTATACTAATTAGGCAGTAGAAGCTCTAGTCATTTTTTTATTATAGCATTTTAAAGCCTTTATTCCAAGCCTCCAGTAGGATCAATAAAAAGCCACTAAAACACAAGGTTTCCTATGTGTCTATGTGCATTAAGAGGACTTTCAAATGGCAAAGTCGTTGTGAAAAATTCATCCATGCACTTTGTTTTTTCTATGAGCAGCACTGGAACAGGGCTGACACAGACTCATAAATAATTTGGTTTTTCTACTATAAAATTAGAAATAAAACGAAAGGCAGAAAAACACATTGTGCTGTTATAGCTAGTTGACATGAAATGTTGTAGTTCACACTTGTAATCATAGTTCTCTAGTATTACAGGCACGCTTTTGTAGAGAAAAAAACAGAGGTAGAGAGGAGGGGAAGGAACTAAAAGAACAAGCTTTTTGCTCCCAGTTCAATGTTCTCATTAAAACTATTTCCCTTACGTCAACATTAAAAGGAGAATGCAGAAATAAAACACAGCTTCTACCAGAGCAACATACACACACACACACACACACACACATTTTTTTTTTAAGACAGGATTTCTCTGTGGCTTTGGAGGCTGTCCTGGAACTAGCACTTGTAGACCAGGCTGGTCTCACAGAGACTCACCTGCCTCTGACACCAAAGGACCACCACCTCCCGGCTCAATTTTTTTATTTTTATTAAAAAAAAAAAGACAGGATACAGTGTCTTGTATAATCTTGTACTAGCAATTCCATGCCCAGCTAACTAACTGTAATTTCAACAAAATAAAATCTTATATTCATTTAGCTCTAAAAAGGCTTCTGCTTTTGGAATGAGGATATGGCTCAGTCATGGAACACTTGCCTCACACAAAGTCCAGATTCAATTTCCTAAACCAATGCACACATACATATTAATTAAACAATAGACTCTTAGCAATATTATATACTATACATATACACATTTTACACTGATTATTTTACATGATCTTCAAAATATTTCAATGAGATTAAGAACAGTAGTAGCGAACATCTTTAATTCCAGCAGAGGCCATTGGATCTCATACATATAAATTTTTTTTGATTGCAAAAACAGTATTTTAGGAGCTGGAGAGATGGCTCAGCAGTTAAGAACACTGGCTACTCTTCCAGAGAACCTGAGCTCCATTCCAAGCACCCACAACAGTTCATAACTGTTGCTAACTATAGACCTATGGAATCCAATGCCCTCTTCTGGCCTCCATAAGCACAAGGCATGCATATGATACACAAATATACATGCAGACAAAATATCCATATATATATATATATATATAAAATCTAACAAAATAATAATTAGTATTTTATTTTTAAAAGGGTGCTTATAGAGCATTTAATCCAAGCAGTGGGGAGGTAGAGAAGGGCAGATCTCTGTGAGTTCTAGGACAGCCAACTTCAATATAGCCCCCACCCCCCATATACCCCCAAAAAGGAAAAAGGTATTTAGAAGACCCAGCCCAGAGAATATAAAACTTCAATTAGAATAGTGTAAAAGTTCTATTGATCTGTCTTATTTACATGTAAATCATGTTTAATGATACATTGTACATTTCAAAATTCTTTAAAGGAATTTTGACATACCATTCTCATCAGAAAAAAGATAGTGATGGGCATGTTAGAGTGATTAAATTTTTCAATTTGTATGTAGATCAAAATATCATGTAACCTACAAATATAAAGAATTTATCAATTAAGTTCTAAAAGATGATGGGGAGGAAGTTAGCAGAAAATACTGAGTCACAAAGCAGTTAAGCAACTTACTGAAGGAGGTCCGTCTAAGTCTCAGTCCATACTCTTAAAGTATTACATTTCTTTACCAGGGTAATACTAAAGCATGTAACTCACCGAAACAGGAACAGGCTCCTGGAATTCAATACTTAATTCATGGCAATAGAGGTAAAGCAGGAGACGTTCACATTTCTGGCCCCCAAAAGAAAAAAGAGACAATGATTGTTTTTTCCTGGTAAGGTATTTTGGAGAATATAGCTACAAAGTATTATTACAACAGGTATCAAACAAAATATTTTGTTTTTCATTAAATTTTGAAACTATATTCTATTCTACTTTAATTAAATGTACCTTTATTCAAATAGAACTAAAGTAATTTACATATCAATAATTCTTATTTGCAGAAATATTAGTCATAAAAACTTAAAGTAAATGAGAAAGAAATTTTTACCATTAGTATCTAATATAATTCCCTAAGGCAGGCAAAACAAATATTCCTCTGTTTTTCAATGACTCCACTCAGATTCAAATGAACAAGAATCATCTCTCTTCAATTCAATTTTTTAAAAATCTAATCTTTTCATTCTTTATCCTTTTTGAGACATGGTTTTACTAATGTAGCTCTAGCTGGTTTAGAACATTTATGTAGACCAGACTTGAACTAAAATTTGTGACCACTCCCTTGCCCTCTGTTAACTGAGTATTGGGCTTACAATATATATTTTTATAAGATTAACTATCACACCAAAATTTATTTTCCATTAGTAGATTATATTACACTCTGTTTAACATTAGTTTAGACATCCTAAACACACTGCTTCTCTTCACAGAAGAATTTTTCAAGTATACATGTTAGATTAGAGCTAGACCTAATTGTAATGAGCACATCAGGCTGAGGTGAGATCAGCAAAAAATTGAGATAAATGAAAAGACTGAGCTTCATTTTTAACATGTGAAGCAATTAAAGAATTGTAAGGAAGTGATAAGTTTATTTACATTTTTAAGAGAAAAAGAACATTGTTTAAATATAGAAAAAAAGACTAGCAGGGCAAGAAGAAACAAGGAAATCATCACAAAATTGTCACAATAGTCCACATAACAAATTATGGATATGTTAGGGAGGTAATGGTAAGGAGCTACAGGAAAATGGCATATAATCACGTTTGACTTTTTATATCAAAGGATTCTGGTTCCAACAACAGAGGTGAACAGTGGTACCATACAGTGATAGGGAATACTGAGAAAGCAATTATTTGCCTGGTGTTTGCTATCATTTTGGAGGGAGAGGATCAGAAATCCGAATCTGGCCAGGTGGCACATGACTGTAATCTCAGCACTCAGAAAGGAGCACTGCTGCAAATTCAAGCCCAGCCAGGGCAGTATAGCAAGACTATTACACCTTGCTCTATTAAAACTAAAAATAGCTGGGCGGTGGTGGCGCACGCCTTTAATCCCAGCACTCAGAAGGCAGAGGCAGGCGGATCTCTGTGAGTTCGAGGCTAAGCTGGACCGACAGCCTCCAAAATAATACAGAGAAACCCTGTCTTGTAAAACAAAATAAAAAAAAAAAAAAAAAACAAACTAAAAATAAAGACACCAAATGACACAAAACTTACCAGGTAATATATACCCACAGGGGTGGGATGGTACAAAGCATGGGTGAGGGAGGGAACACAAGATGCATAGGCTGACAACCATAAAAGCTCTATAACATAAACAAGTCAGCTCTGATGCTTACCCTTTGGTCCACGGGGCTTAAGCCCTGTGCAGTTTTCCCCTTCTTACTGTGTTGCATATTATCACAATCGTATTCAACTTCTGGCTTCCCAATATCTCTGCAAAATGTGCATATCCAGTCTCCACTGCACAGCAAAAACAGGCAATTAGTCCACAAATCACAACAAAGCCTATCCTGGAGAAGATAAATCCTTAGATGTAGGTCTCTAGTTTGTTTTCTTTTGTTTCCAATATTTGGTGAAAAGGAGTTTCTGTACTTATTAAATATCTTCAGTTGTACAGTAAGTTCTCCAAAACTTTTCTCAATCGCACATCAAGTGATAACCTTCTAGAAATCGATAAAATGAAATCCCTACATTAAACACTAGTCTGTTCATGACACAAATCAATGACCACCTCCTGCATCAAAATACCTGACAACTGGGCTGGAGAGATCGCTCAGCCATTAAAGGCTAGGTCACAACCAAACTACCTGACAACTTCTCTCAAGTCCCCATATCAGCATCCCAAGGTTCTAATTCTGCGACAGGAAAACAACCTGTCAGTCATTTACTTTCTAGCAAGCACAGAGATCGAGTTGGCACCTGTAACTCAGGACAGAGAAACCGTAGGGCATCCTGGCTAGTAAGCATAGCTATTGGAGTAGTAAAGTAGACACCTGAGAAACAACACCCAAGGCCTATATAAGCACCTCCCCATACATCGTGCATACATACAAAGAAAATAGTAGGGACTGTGTTTTATAGTGTTCTGAAGCTTATTAAATACATATACTAACAACAAATCAAGTCTTTTTCACAGCCACTCAAAACACTGCATATACAAACACATACTTGTAAGCACAAGCAAATATACTCCCTTAACTTTTAAGTCACATAAAATACAGTTTTTTAAAATCAGGATTTCTATTAAATTATAATTTAGAGAATTATTTGTTCATATTTTTCTTTATTCCCTGTCTATACATAAATATACAGAGATAAACAGAGGCATATTAATATAGATAGATGAACAAATCCAAGTATCAAGAGGTTTTTTTGTTTTGTTTTCAAGACAGGGTTTCTCTGTAGCTTTGGAACCTGTCCTGGAACTCACTCTGTAGACCAGGCTGGCCTCAAAAATCAGAGATCCAGCCATCTCTGCCTCCCAAGTGCTGGGATTAAAGGCACATGCTACCACCACCCAGCAATTTTAGGAGTTTTATATAGAACCCATGTCAATAGTTTATATTCCTCCCCAAGTGTCTGTCTTTGAAAACAGGCAAAATCTTAGTCATGTGCGGTGGTACATGTCTCTAATGCCAGCACCAAGGAGGCAGAGAGAGGTAAATCCCTGTGAGTTCAAGGTCAGCCTGTTCTATATAGTGAGTTCCAAGACAACCAGGGGGTGCATTAAGAAATCCTCCCTCCCTCCCTCCCTCCTTCTCTCTCTCTCTCACACACACACACAAAGAGAGAAAACTGGCAAAGTCCTAATATACCAAGATACTGCCAAGAAAAGAGGGTCTGGCAAGTTGGTGGCAAGGAAGTAAGGACACCTGCCACCAAGCCTGACAATGAGTTCCGTTCTCCAGAACCCACATAGTGGAAAGATTGACTCCTGTTAAGTTGTTCTCTGATACAAGCAACACCTGGCAACACATGAACAAGCGGTGTACACAGACATACACATAAATATGCAATAAAAACCCTACTTTCTTATTAACCACTAGCAAATCATACCTGATAAGACTTAGGCAGGTAATACAATTAAAAAAACAACACAAGAATAACTAAAACAAATGTTGGTACTTTTTACACATCTATCTTTCTTTTTGTATTTCAGTGCTTGAGAATGAACCCAGGGGCCTTATGTATGCTAGGCACATGCTCCACCACTGGGCTACATATTCACAGCTCATTATCTGCTGCGTTTTGCAGTGAAAAAGCTCATAACAAATCTTCTGTTACACATTTAGATCTGAGGATAACAGGTCTAAAAAGCAATTACTTCACTGGTACCTTGGAAAGCTGAGAAGTGTTGGAACATGACAAGTAAGATGAAAGACCTTTGGACATTTTTCACAGCATAAGAGATCGCCTCCATTCTGGCAGACGGCACACCAGTCTTCATTTGGGTCATCATCTTTGCTATTACCATCTCCTCCGATCCTTGCCGACCTGTGCATGAGGTTTCGAACTGGAGACTTTCCATTAACTAGGTTACTGAGTCCTGACTGTTTGCAGCTTTCATTCATATCTGTAGGCTCGGTTTTCACATGGTTCTCCAGGCCTGCTAATGTATCCAGCTCACTCTCTAGATGAAGGTTAGTTGAAAGAGGTGGTGTCAAACTACTCTCAGGACTGCTCAACTACAAGAAAACAAAGCCAAGTTTTAAAAAAACTATTTAGTTCTTTCTTGTACACAGTGTGTATGCAGATACATACATTACTATATACATACATTAACTAAAATTATTCTATAAATCACATTAGTGAAATAAAAGAACACAAATAACCTAACCATTTGCATATACTAACTTGGTTTTTCAGAGTTTTGTCCCTCTAATATTTAATATTGGTTCACTCAGATAATCCAGAAATTTAAACCATGATACACAATGATTTGAGAAATGAACTAACAACCATACTTTTCTTACAAAGAGCTTCCTACAGTACACTATTTTTCCAATTAAAATCAGTTAGATAGCATTTGTGAAGTATTTTGTACTATCTTTTGGCACACATATATCATTCAACTAATGAAAGACTACAGCAATGTAAAACACATCATTCACCACACCACCTTTGCACTGGGCACTTTCTAAACTAAGAGTTTCAGACAAAGAGATGACATTGTCATAAACATTCAGCTAAAGTTGTAGGTCTTTAATCCACACACTGCACTGAATATAGTAATAATGTTGAAATTCCTATGTGCCAATAACATAGATTGAAAACTAAAAAGCCTGGGCAGAAGAATAACAAAGCATGAGATAAATGAAGATGGGTTTGGACACTCTTTTATTCAGTTTTATAATTGTATAAACATTTTCACCTAAGAAACTCTAGAATGGTTATTATAAGACAAAAAGGAAATTTTTCTATTACAAAGTCTTCGATCAACAATCTTCTTTCATATTAACTACCTTAGAGTTGAGCTCCTAGGTTAGAGAACATAGTTAAGGTTCTGTTGTGGCATTGAGATCCTATGTGTACACTGAGAACATTAATAGAACATAATTTAGCAGCATGGCAGTAGCATTAATTAAATTTAAATTTTAAGATAATATAAAGTATGTACTTAATGCAATCAAGTCTTTTCTGATTAATTATAGGTGACTCTTAAGAGCAGAATCAGAAAGAGATACTTAGTTTATGTCAGACATAAAAACTTAAAGACAAATAAATATGCCTACTATGATAGACGATCAGTGATGTGACCTCCTTATGTCCTGTCAAATACTGGGGGAGCTTACCATACAGGCACTCCTCCTGCCATCCTCTGTCTTCTCTTGTTTCACAGCTCCTGAAAAGCTGCATATCTCTTCTTCAGTCCCAGGCTCTTGCTTGACCTTCACTTGATCGGATTTGAAACTATGACCACTTTTCTCAGTAGTTCTTCCTGATGACCCACAGCTAATAAGAAAAAAAAGTCACGTTTCATTGTATAGAATGAAGTGAAAGTACTATTATTTAAGATAGTAAACAATTACCCCAAATAGGAATGTAACAGACAAAAGGCCAAACCTTAAAATTACATTTCACGATCCAAAATACTTAAGAGTAAACTACAGATTCTAGTAAACAACCGCATATCTATCTCCATGCCACAACAAGCTGAGTATCCTTATCTAAAACACTTGAGATTAGAGTTTTGAGATGTATTTAGCTATTTTGAAACATTTACATGTACAGGGTGGAGTGACTTGGGATAGAACTCAAGTATAATTATGAAATTCATTTCATACAATATTTTAAGTGCACCCAGAGAATTGATTGCAACCCATTGTAACGTGAGATTAGGTATGGAATTTTCCACTTGGGGCATCGTACTAGTGCTTATATTTTAGAGTATTCAAATTTCAGGTTAGGGATGTCCAACTTGCAGCAAAAAATGTCAGTGATTGTATCTCTTTATAGAAACAGTTTCAACACTACCATCTCAAATCTTTAAAGAATACAACATCAGCACAAGTGATAAGTCTCACAAAGATTGTAGTGGGACTAGAAGAAAAGAACAGTAAGTAGCAAATAACCTAGTCCAAATTAATTAGGAAAGTGGAGAGTACTTTCATGGCTAAAGGTTCTTTATAAAGCACAAAGAACAACAATAACAATTCACCACTGAGCAAAGTAATTAAGACTAGTATAGCTAGGGGCTGGAGAGATGGATCAGATAAAAGCACTGGCTGCTCTTTCAGTGGACTTGGCTTCAATTCCTAGCAGCCACAATTGTCTGTAACTCCAGTTCCAGGTAGTCCAACACCCTCACACAAACATATATGCAGGCAAAACATCAATGCATATAAAATCAATTAAAAAAAAGACTAGTCTAACTACTCAGAATGAAGTTTTCACTGTTCATTTTTCTTCTGAAAGCACTGGTTATTTAAATTACTCTCCCTTTATTTTTTATAATTTATTTGTATTTTATGCATGTCGGCATTTTATCTGCATGTATGTCTGTATAAGGGTGTCACATCCCCTGGAACAGGAATTACAGACAGTTGTTAGCTGCCATGTTGTCGCTGAGAATAAAACCCAGGTCCTCTGGAAGAACAGCCAGTGCTCTTAACTGCTAAACCATCTCTCCAGTCCCCTATTATTTAAAGTACGAAAAATAAGGCAATCAAGTACTTTAAATAGGGACAGCTTTCATAATATATATACACATGTGAAGTCCCAATTGTCTAATTCCTTAGTTAAAATGTCATATTGTATTAAATCATACAAAGTACAGAACAGTAAAAAGAATGTATTTACTATATTTAATCTTAGCAACTATTTCTTAGTCATATCCACTGAAAAGTCTGAAGGAGGGGGAAAACCCAATAATTTAAAAGTAATGAGTGTCCTTAATACCTAGAAGAACATTTAAAATGTGTTGGAATAAATAGAATCATAAAAGTATAACAGTCAAACTCCTAAGCACTACTGAGGGGAACTGGAAATAAATTAATCACAAAAGTCATACTCTGCTGCCCCTTAACTCAGTAATTGACAAAGTTTCTTTATAGAAGTATTCTAAAATAATAATTATCAAAATAACATTTTTGAACCAGTAAAGGCACTTGCCATGAAGCCTAACAACCTCAATTTGATCTCCAGGACCCATATGGTGGAAGAAGTCATTCCCATAAGCTGCCCTGACACCCCCTTCCACACACACACACACACCAGGCAAATATGAGGAGCTTGTTAGTCAGGAAGCTGGCCAAATCTGAGCTTTAGGTGCAGTGATCTTCAAAAAGTAAGGTAGAGGAGTGAACAAGATTATCTTACATAACCTCTGGCCTCCACACACATACACTACCCACATGGACACAAACCACACATACAAAAACAAAAATATGTATTCCAATGGAAGCACACAATACTACATTTGAAGTATTCTCCTATATAACCTGAATTCCATCAAATCTCTTATTTCTAAGGTTTATTTTTAAGTGTGTGTGTGTGTGTGTGTGTGTGTGTGTGTGTGTGTGTGTGTGTGTGTGTGTGCATGCCCTCACCCACAACTGACTTAGGTGCCCTCAAAAGCTAAAAGTGGTAGATAGACCTCACTAGAGCTGGAGTTACAGGCAATTTGTGAGTCACCTGACATGGATGCAAGAGACATATAGCTCTGAGTTACCTCTCCAGGAACCCCCTGCCAAACCTATTGCTCTAAATTGCCCAAATTAAATAACAATGAGAGAAATAAAAGTCTACAAGAGAAATCTCTACATTTGCAAACAACAAAAATGATGTTTATACAAATCCATCTGTTGATGACAGTACATAGGGCTCATTAAATGTGGTTCGAAGAAATTAATTTGTTTATAAAAGCACTTACGTAAATAAATTGGGAACTTAACTGGGTCTAAACAATACTGAGTAGCTACAAGTAAAATGACATAATTGCTGAGATTTGTTTCAAATAATCTAGACAAGGAAATAGAAGAGTACAAAGAAAAGAAGACTGGGTATAATTAATGTACTTAATGTTGAAACTGTGTATATGAAAGTTAGTTTACTTTCATTAACTATATTTGAAATTTTTCTTAATAAAAAAGTTGTAAGTAATATAATACCAGGAAAAAAAATACTCACCTGCCTCGACTGCCAGTGCTAGATGTACTAGGGGGTCTCACAGGTGTGTGAGAATTGGGTAAGCCTAAAAAACAGTAGTCAGACTGAGGATCAGAATGTTCAGACAAAGCAGCCTAACTCAGAGACTCTTGTAAATCACAAACAGCTGTGAAGTTGTACATGGCAAATGTGTTTAGCAAGCACGACCAGCTTCTTCCAGCTGAATCCAGAATCATTTTAGCATCTTGTATTACCCATTAGGATCAGCAGATTAAGAAAGTTGTCATTTCCTCACATCACAAGAGTCTAATAGTCCCTTATTCTTTTTAAAAAATTAAGACAGCATTTCATTATATAGTCCAGATTGGCCTTAAACCCTTGATTATCTACTGCTTCCATCTAAGTGGTGACACTATGATGGCCCCCCCAAAAAAACTTACTAAAACTCAATGAGATATTTAAAAAACTGTTAATAATGTAACTCATGTAAAAATTTATGCCTCGACCAGAAGGTGGTAGCACACACCTTTAATCCCAGCACTCAGGAGGTAGAGGTAGGCGAATCTCTCTGAGTTCGAGGCCAGCAAGGTTTACAAAGAGTTCCAGAAGAGCCAGAGCTTCACACAGAAAACTCATTTAAAAAATCCATCTTTACAACTGTACTATTTTTCCTCCAGAAATGAGATGCTCCTTTTTTAGTTTAAAAGAAAAGCAACACTAAGTTTAAGCTGGATGTGGAATCCTAGCACTCAAGAGCCTGGGGTTCACCAACCTCAGCTATATAGTAAGTATCAAGCCACCCTAAGCTACAATCCCATACCTTGTTTCAAAAATCCAACAGAAAAAAAAAGGGGGGTGATATATGTATAATGACTTGTTAATCTGTTTGGCATTACTTCAATCACGAATTTTTAATGTCTCAGCTAAAACCACATGACACTAGGAACAGTAAAACTGAGGTTTGAGGAGAGAGCCACACTTTATATACTTTTAATTGTTTAAGGCAAATTTAAGCTTTTTACTTTAAAATTACAACTTGAACATTCAGATGGTTTTCTTCAACTTTATTGAACAATTTTTCATTATTTTAAAACTGTTTTGAGTTGAAATGAAATAACTCAATTCATCATCCACACTATAAAACATAGGAGATATAAAAAGTTAATACACTCTAAACCCACCAAAGAATGAGAAACGTAGAGTTGGATGCTTTAGTGTTGCCAAAAGACAGGATATAGGTATGCTTTGTACCATTCTAGTCAGCTACAGACAATCAACCTTATTTAAACATACATGAATATGCCGTGGTTGTGGCAGCACAAGCCTTTAATCCCAGCACTTGGGAGGCTGAGGCAGGTGGATCTCAGAGTTAGAAGCCAGCCTAGTCAATGAGGGACCTCCAGGACACCCAGGGCTGCACAAAGAAACCCTGTCTCAAAAAACAAAAACAAACAAAACCACCATATATGCATGTATTTGAAAAACCATCTAGAAAAGCCAACAGACGTTAAGAAAAGCAAGTTATCCATCACAATCCAAGTGAGCTTCATTTAACCAGATGAATCACTTGAAAGGTGGAGCTATTGCTTTCAGTCCATTACTGCCTTTTACTCTGGACACTAGACTGCAAAGTAACTCTTCCTGAGTTTCCAGCTTGCTAAAATGCTCTGCAGATTTTGAATTTGCCATTACCCAGAAAAATAATCAGGAGAGCCAATTTCTTAAGATTCCTTATCTTCTTCCATCCTCCCTACCATATCACGTGTGTAATGTGTATACTTATGCGCTATCTCCACACATGCCTCCCTCTTGTAGCTGTTTTTACCTGATACAGATACCAGGAGACAGCCCTCACTCCTCCACCCTTGCCTGAAGGTGCTAGAGCAAAAATCCCTGTTTGTTTTACCTGAAGATCCAGGTGATAACGCAGAGGGTCCTGGGGAAGGATTCATGGTACTTGTAGGCTGTGGGGGTAGATGACTGCCTGAGATATATCTACTCAGTAGATTATCTAAACTACTTGAGCCAGCATCTTCCAACTAAAAAGAGATAAAAATAAAATTGCTTTGATTAAACTGAGTAACTTAATGTCACTGTTTATACTCACTTTACTATAACAGATTATGCAATATCAAGTTCTACCTAACTGTTGCTTCCTTAGGCTTTTCTGAGAGGAAAGACAGTATAAAGTTTATGTTACTGATGCTATAATTTATTCAACAGATACCCAGCTGCTAAGACAACCTTAATAATCCATTAAGCCCTATATAACAACAAAAATAGTCATGACATACTAACAGCTCACTTTCATTTTTCAAAATTGCTGGAGTGCCCTTGACCTCAGACTCCCTTCCTCTACTTTAGTGTTGCATCAGAATCATTCACACAAAGACTTTCATCTCTGACAGGTTCTTCTTACATCAGGTTCCAGCCTGACCAAGGTACATCACTGCATACAGAAGAAAGTAAAAGCAGGGAAACTGAACTCATTTCTACTTAGAGGTAGTAGGATAAAGGTCAGAGAATAAAGCGTTACAATTTTGGGGCAGTTCTCCAAAAAAGCATCAGTTTTCTGTTTTAAAATAGGCCATCTATTATGCAGAACTAGATGCTTCAGTGAGAAAAGTAAAAAGACACTATTGAAAGTACCTGAAAAGCCACATTATTGCTAAAAACCTGTCAAATTATTATTACTTGTTAATCTTCTTGCTTATTCTATTTATTCCCAACACTTCAATCTGTTCTCTAGACAAAGGTCAAATTATGTCTTATGCCAATCTATCTCTGGCTTAAGACAAAACTATGTACTTACGGCCTGTTCTCTTTTCTTCCTGAAAGTGAACTAATTTTCATAGGAATAAAACAGATGCCAGGTAGTGGTGGCTCCTAGCACTTGGGAGGCAGAGACAAGAGGATCTCTGTGAGGCCAGTCAGGTGTATAGAAGGAGTTCCAGGACAGTCAGGGCTAGACAGAGAAACTGTGTCTCAAAAAAAAAAAAAAAAAAAAGTGACAAACAAACAAACCAAAGCAGAACTGGAAACTAATAACGGAACAGGACATAATACAAATACAGGCAAGGGAGGATCCTCCTAAAAACAAAACAAACAAACAAAAAATCACAATTTCCCAAATCCCTTAATAAATCGCAAGCCAGGCTGAAATGAAGAGACAGAACAAAAAGTAATAGTTCTGTCTGTCTATTGGCTATTCGTTAAACACCATATGTAACCTATAACTATAGAATTCCTTGCTGCAACTCAAGTTAACTAGATATAATCACTAAAGGGAGCTCTTTTGTTGCCTATTTACTATAAAATTCATTATTATTATTTTAATATGCATGAGTGTTTTGCCTACATTTACATACAGCATGTTTGTGTCTGCAGAGGTCAGATGATGGCACTGTATCTCTGGAACTAGAGTTATAGGTGGTGGTGAACCACCATGTATGTACTGAAAATTGAACTTGAGTACTCTGTGAGAGCAGCTAGTACTCTGAGCCATCTATCAAGGCCCAGACAGAGTGATGCATACCACATAAAAACAAATTGGGAAAAATGACAACCCTTTCTACTCCTTTAATATTTTCTACGTACAATTTTTATCTCTAGATATATAGGTGACTCTAAAGTTGACGGAGTCAACAGGTAAGGAAGAAGTGGACATGAATACAATCATCATGAATACAGTTAAGTCATCTCATGGACTGGATGTTAGGCAAGCAGAGGTGGGAAGACTGTCTCTGAATTCAAAACCAGCCTGGCCCACATACTAAATTCCAATGCAGTCAAAGTGACACAGTGAGACCCAATCTCAAAATAAATAAATGAAAATAAAATAATTTAACACCCGTCTAACTGGAAACATAATTGCATGGGTATGATATAAGTTCTATAAATAATTTATGGTATAAAAGCAAAGGCAATATAAAAGAAAAATGCAGACCTCTCACAGAAATAAAATGAACATATTAAGAGATGAAAATCAAGCAGTGTAATGGTGCACAATATAACCTCGCACCCATTCCTGACCAGGAGGATCACAAATTTGAGGCCAGTCAAGGTTACTTGGTCTCAAAAACAACAATGGAAGGAGAAAAGAAGAAAAATGGAGGGGAGAGGTAATTAAATCACAGTGATGTCATCTTACCTACCAGACTGGCAAAAATGAAGACTGATCTTAAACCAGTATCGGGGAAAATCAGAACAGAAATGGATACTCTGATGTGTAAGCTGGTAGGTTAAGGATTAATGTGCCTGGGACTTGCCAACCATGCCTACCACCCTACCTCAGTTTAATCTCTAGCACCATCAAATGGACAAATGAACAAACAAAAGAACGAGCTGGTCCAAAGGTAGTGTATATTTGACTTGTCCTGAAACTACTCAACTCTTTTTCCAAGTGGTCATTGTATTTTATACTTCCACCAACAATGTGTGAGGAATCTAATTCCTCTACTTTCTCACCAACAGCATAGCTCCAGTCATTATTTCCTTAGTGACTGGTAATGGTTTTTCAAACAAACAGCTGTTATGTTTTTTAATTTAATGTGTTTTTTTTTTAAGATTTGTTTGCTACATATATGTATGGCACGACATACATGCCTGGAGCCCAACAAAATGAAGAATCATGTAGTTTAAAAGCAAGAAAGCTATAGGAAGTGACCATAAAGGGGAGGGAGTAATTTTCATTTTTTTCTGATTAACTTAGAAAAAAAACATCACCACCACCTATAATGGGTTACTTTTATAAAGTCTACAGAGGTCTTTTAAACTAAAAAAAAAAAAAAAAAAAAAATCAGAATGTTCTTCTCAGTCCTCTTTACCTATCATGAAGCCCTTCAAATACAAGGCCCTTATTGAACATAGGATGAAATTAAAACTCCTTTATGCATCTTACAAAGGTCCATGCACCCACTTTCTATCGTCTCTAGACTCCTTTCATGCCATTCCTGCCTTCTTTTCCTTTCCTCACTGGCCTTATTTCTGCTCTTCAAAAACTCCTCTTTCTACCTTATTGGGCTTTGAAATTGTGTGCCATTTACCTTATACAATTTATTGCCAACAATTTCTTTCTTAATTCTTACTCAGTCCACAGGTTTCAAAAAAAGTTTCACATCTTACTATATTTACCTTGTACTTTCCCCTTTAAGGAACAATTGGGGCTACTCAGGGAATCCCTGTCTCAAAAACCAGAAACTCTTAAGCTCACTTTACTATACTGCCTGCTGTATTACAACCAAGTGATCTGCCTGGAGTTGCTGCCTCAAACACCCTTTAAATCCACCTCAGGCACAACTGCGTGCACACACACATACACACTAACTTATTCTTTCAAAATATCTGTTTGTTTATTAGATGTGCACTGCTCAGCCTGCATGCCAGAAGAGGGCACCATATCTCATTATAGATGGTTGTAATATACCATAGATGATTGCCAGGAATTGAATTCAGGAACTCTGAGCCATCTTTCCACTCTATAATTCAATTTTAAGTACTTACTTCATCATTTTCTAATTATCTAATTGTCAAAATTATAACATCTTAGGGAAAGGGCTATATGTTAGTAATTCCTAACCAATTCCATTTCATCTATCTCTCCAGTATTTTATTATTTCTCAGTAGTACTTTAGCCATGCTAATAGTATTTTTATACCTAAAACAAAATCCTTATGCTGGCAACCAGATCACACGGTATATTCAGTTGTTTTCTGAACTGTGCAAAATAGGCAAATCTACGGCTTCTCTATATATTTAATATTAAGCTTGCTATTTGTAATATTCATTTACTATGAATATTAATGCTGGATTTTCTCGATATAAATTCTTAATTTAGCCTAAGATCAGTTCCATTACATAATATATGCGATTGTCACAGATCAAATCACTGTTTTGGAACACATGACTATACTGTGCTTTAAACTAGTCTTCTAAATTCCTGTTGGTTAATGATACCATTTACAGTACAAAGCCATTATTCATGCCTGTGATGTTGCTGATGCAAACAAACCTGCCACGTGACAAATTATGTATTTACTACACTTTTTTTTTCCAAATAACTTAAAAACCCGTACATAGCCAGGCATTGTTGGCTAATGCCTTCAATCCTAGCTCAGGAATCAGAAGAAGCAAATGATCTCAGTGACTTTGAGGAAAGCCAGGAATACATAGTAAGAACCTGTCTCCAAAAAAAAAAAAAAAAAATCAAAATGGTCCTACTATTTCAGTAACTTCACTGCTCCTTGATGTCATGGAAACCCCCAACTCTAAAAGTCATACAACAAGGAAATAACAGTATAATCCTCAAAGACTATTTATAAAGGCTGAAAGAAATGAGAAACCTCAGAGAGCACGATGTGATTCATCGTCCCCTTTTGATCACCACTTCCTCCCTTTTACTATGTCGTCAAAGTGCTTGATATCTAACCTTTCAACAGAAGCCCTTCTCTGCTCAACTGACTTGCATGAGTGATGAAATGGAATTGGTTAGGAATTACTAACACATAGCCTTTTCCCTAAGATGTTATAATTTTGACAATTAGATAATTAGAAAATGATAATAAAGTGAGTACTTAAAATTGAAATATAGAGTGGAGAGGTGACTCAGAGGTCCTGATGTAAAAGAAGAGTAACAAAAGATGAGACTCCATTTTGGTACTGGATTTCTTCTAGGTTCCAAATTCATATCCTAAGCATATTATTTGATTGAGGTTTTGCCCTTATAAAGTGGCTAAAAAGTATGAAGAATTAGCAATATAAACAAAGTTAGTATTGTTTAGATAGACTCTTAACACAGAGTATACTTTAAAACATGGAAGAAACAAGTTTCAGGCAGTAACATTAAAATTTATGTATGTACCCTCTAATCTTCAGGTTTAAGAAATTACTGGTCCTGAAATTAAATAAAATCTGAAATACCATCTTCTTCAGTAAGCACAAGATTTCAAATGATTCACTTAACATAAATACAAACCTGTATAGGCGGAATATCTGGCAATGATGGAAGGTTTTCTGGATTGGTGACTGAGGGAATTAGTTCTATTGCTGTAACAGATGGGCTGGTGGGACCTCGATTGGCATTTGCCATAGTTGCTGTGGTAGGACTTGTTGGGTTGATTGGGTTGTGTGCTGATACAACAGGAAAGGGTCCAGCATGCCCTGGGTTTGAGTGCTGTTTAAGAAAGGTATTATTATTATTATTATTATTATTATTATTATTATTATTATTATTATGTACTCTGCCATGATCTCTGAACCATACCTTAGAATAACTATAATTTTCATGTATCCTTTCCAAACTAAAAGTATCTGAGCTGGCAAAGAAGTGGGGCCTCTCAAAGAGAATAGTTTGAACTAGTCTTTTCATTTTTCATTCATTTATATAGTAAAACAGATTTGCAAATAAATATCAACCTGTCACCCTGTATGATCTTCAGAATAAGGATAGTTGAGATGATGTGGACAGCAAAGGTCTGCAAATAGCCTGCCATGAAGGCAGAGTTCTGAAGATACTCTTCACTGATCTTTTAGTCTTCTATCTAATGAAAAAGTACTACAAAATGTAACAATATGATAAAAAGAATGATGAATTTCAGAAAGAAACTATGACAATGATTCCTGGCTCTAATACTAGGAAGTCTTCATTGTATTATAAAGTCACATAATCTCAGTAATTGTGATATACAGATAAAGGATCCCTCAATGGTTTCATTAAGGATTATATTTTAAATTTTTTAACTTATTTTTATGTATTATGAGTGTTTTCCTAGCATGTATGTCCGTGCACCACATGCACTGTGAGATGAAAGCCAGAAACTGTCAGAAACTGAAGTTACAATGGGTATGACTCATTATGTGGGTGCTGGAATTGAATCTGGAAGGGCAGCCAGTGGTCTAACCACTGAACTCTCTCCAGCCCCTCTTACTCATTATGTGCATGGGTGTATGTGTATGTGTCAATGTGGAGGTCAGAATGTGGTTCTTTCCTCCACCCTGAAGTTTCTGAAGAACAAGTTCAGGTTATCAGGATTGGTGGCAAGTGACTTTATCTACTGAGTCATCTTACATCCCGCTTTCAGTTTTCAAGTCAATATTTACAATATGCTAGAATATTTCTGCCACAACTTACAAATGCATGAAAGTTTTCAATACAAAGTAAGTAAACATTTTTTGCCGGGCGTTGGTGGCGCACGCCTTTAATCCCAGCACTCGGGAGGCAGAGGCAGGCGGATCTCTGTGAGTTCGAGGCCAGCCTGGTCTACAAGAGCAAGTTCCAGGACATCCTCCAAAGCCACAGAGAAACCCTGTCTCGAAAAAAACAAACAAACAAAAAAACAACAACAACAACAAAAAAAGTAAGTAAACATTTTTCACAAATCTTTTTGGGTGTAATTTTGGTCAAAAAGCTGGGGAATCACTATTCTAAGTGTTTAACATATAGACTGAAAAAGTAAACTTAGTGGAAGTTTACCCTAGTCTTTCCTTGTGAAATTATCTGATTCTATTTAAGATGTATTAGTTTCTGTGTATGTGAGTATGCCTGACCAAATTTAAACGCACCACATGTATACAAGAGGGTACTGGATCCCTGGAACTTGAGGTTACCGTTAACTGTAAGCTGCCATGTCCTCTGCAAGAGGAGTAAGAAAGTGCTCATAGCCTGTGCCATCAACAGTTACCCCTCCCAAAATTCTAGCCCAGCGATTATGACTCAAATCTGTTATAGTAAGACCCCACTGCACTTTAACTTAACCAGTGATTCCTTTCTTTTACTTGTATTTTATATTCATGGTGTTTTATCTGTGTGAGGATGTCAGATTCCCTGGAACAGATGTTACATGCAGTTGTGGGTGCTGGGAATTGAACCCAGGTCCTCTAGAAGAACAGTCAGTGCTCTTAACTGATGAGCCATCTCTCCAGCCCCTAACCAGTGATTCTAAGAGCATTTACAGCATGATTGTTTAATTTTTGAGACAAGATCTCTATAGACAAATGTGGCTTCCCACTCATGCTACTTCCACTCTATCTTGAGTCCCATGATTACGTGTGTGCACTACTATACTCACCCCAAAGCATGTTCATGTTTTGAACATGTTTTAAACCACTTCATTTTATAATCATTACTCATGAATAGCTCATACTGCATTTATGTAATATATAATTTATTTAAAAATTATAAACTTGCCTCTAAATCACTGGTTTTGTATTTCATTTTCACTTTTACTTATTCGTCTGTCTGTCTGTCTGTCTGTCTGTCTGTCTGTCTGTCTATCTATCTATCTATCTATCTATCTATCTCCATGTGTGCTGCCTCCACGAGTTTCTGTGCAACATGTGTTGCCAGGTGTTGTTGGATCTACTGGAACTGGAGTTATAGATAGTTTTGAGCTGCCAGGTTGAGTCCTAAGAACCCAACATATGTCCTCTGTAAGCGTAGTGTCTCTAACCACTGTGCTTTTCTCCATCTCTATCTAAGACAATTAGTCTTTTGAGAAAAGGTCTAATGAAGCAAAAGCTGGCCTTGAATTCTCTATGAAGTCACGGGTAACTTAGAACTTCTGATCTTTCTACCTCTGTATCTCCAGCTTGGGATTACAGTCATAGATACCAATCTGGCATAATTTACTTTATTGTTATCGTAGAGATTTTTAGCAGTAACAGATCAAGTGCAGGGCTTCAAGCAATCTACAACTGAGCTAACCCACACTAATTTTCAAGATTAAGCATATCTATTCTCTATAGAAAAAAGTATATAAACACATACCTACATACAACTAATCCTACTACTTACAGATTTCTTTATGCCATCAGTATTAAAAAGCACAATAAAAATACCAGAAAATTAAAGCTTGATTTTCAGAATTATCATTTGCAACTAAAAGTAAATCAAAAGTTCCTTGTTTTGCACTCTAGATAATGAGTTTAGTTACACAAGATAGCATGTGATAAGCTTAAAGAAGACAAATTTTCATGTGTATGTATATTTTTCTGGGACAAACAGATATAAAACAAATTATCAGAAGTATCAAAGACCAACACCAATCACTAATTATGAAAAATAATGTCTTTTAGTTTTAAAAGTGTATGATTCTTACAAATGTAACTCTAGGCATACTTGTCTTTGAAGGTGTGGCTGCATCATGGAATACTGAGGGCCGCTGTGCCTGGGTATCCCTGGTATTCTGGCAGCATTCTGAGCCAGTCTCATCTGATGGGCTTGAAATGCTCCACAGTTCATGTTGCCTCTTTGCATTGTTTGCACACTGATCAATCTTGGAGGCTATAAAAAGCAGAAAATGCAATTCATATTTTCTTTTTTTGGTTTCTTTTCAAGGCAGAGTTTCTCTGTGTAGTTCTGGTTGCCCTAGATTCGCTCAGGAGACCAGGCTCAGAGATTCACCTGTCTCTACCTTCCAGGCACTGGGATTAAAGGTGTGCACCACCACACCTAGTACATATATATCTACAAATTTATTTTTCAATCATAAAATGTTAAAGTAAAGCAATTCAATTAGGCCAGAATAGTATAAATAGAACACGCAGTATATTCTTTTCCAACCTCAACATTTATAGGACCAGTAATTACTATAAAAAGTTGGTCACTCCAAAATTTATCTACCCTAAGGGAGGGAGGGAGGGAGGGAGGGAGGGAGGGAGGGAGGGAGGGAAAATTAATTCATCTCAATTATGAAAGTAACACTATTGCTTGTGAAGTAGTAAAGAACAAAGATAAGAATAATTTGAGCAAATACCTAAAGAATACAACAGATCATAGAAACAATCTGGTTCTTTGACTCACAATTTTGTATGTGTGTGGGAGGGAGTGTACAATATATAGGGGCAAAAATGTCGCCGCTTCCCATGTCCTTATGTAACACCTATAATCTTTAAAGTTTCCCATCTCTGAACTTTGAACTCCATCTAGTAACTGAATGTATAATTCAGATACACAAAATGAAGTGTAGTTCTATGATCTTTTTAATTTCTATCAATAACGGAGGGACACAATGCTTACCTGTTGTTGCAACATCTGTGGGGCTGTTTGTCTCGGATGCTGCTGTGTTGTTGTTGATGTTGTTGGTATAGGAGCTGGCGGTTGCTGCATTCTCATTTGTTGTAACTGCTGATGTTTTTGTGCATACACTTGTTGCTGCATGTGCTGGAGTCGAAGCTGTGCTAAGTTAATCTGTCCAGGGGTTTTACTAATGTGGTTTGTACCTGGAGGAACTTGCCCAACTACAACATTAGGAGTATAACCGGAAGATGGCTTACTCTCTATTACTAGATTACCTGAGGGTTTAAAAAAATAAGAATTTACAAATAATTAACTATATTGCCCACTTTAAAGATGAATCAATATCTTTTCCACCTCCTGACAATTACCACCTCAGAGCATCCAACAGCAAAGCACAGATAAGCGCTAGGTCTAAAGATGGTTAGTTAGAAACTAAATAGCTTCCAAAGCCCCTCGAACCCTCCCCAAAATAAGCTCATTATTGAATATACACTGTCTGTTCTTACACCTGTGTGGGTGTGACATATGTGTGTGCATGTGCATTCTTGTGTGTGGATGGTTGTGCACAAGCACAACAGTGCACATGTAGAGGTCAGAGGACAACCTTTGGACGTCAGTCCTCACCTTTCCAGCTAGTTTGAGGCACGGTGTCTTTTGCTGCTGCATAACCCAGGCTAGCTGGCTGGAGACTGAAAGAGACATTATTAGAGGAAGGATCCAGTCAGTCTGAATCAATTCTTCCATGACAAAGACTCCAGGATACTCATGGTGGTTGCTATACTGATTCTATATGCTTTCTTCTTCTTTTTTTATATGAGTGTTTTGATTGAATATGTCTGTACACCAGAAGAGGGTGTCAGATTCCTTGGAACTGGAGTTACAGACAGCGAGCTACCATGTGGGAGCCTGGAATCAAACCTGTGTCCTCTGAAAGGACAGTCAGTGCTCTTAACCACTGAGCAATCTCTCCATCTTCTGATCTGGTTTCCAAATGCCAATGTTAAAAGTAATATAAAACCCTGCTAAGCAAATAATTTTCTATGGAAATTCTGAATGCTTTAAGCCATTTATGCCCTTAAAGCAGTCATTTCTTTACCTTTTTAAACAGACATTGCTTTCTGAGACTAGAGGCTAAGTTCTAAAAAGGCATGATTTAAGGTAGATGTTGGCAGGCCACAAAAAAAAAATCTGCTACAGTCAATAATTTTTTAAACTTTTTGAAAATGTAGAACACACACTCACACACAAATTCGTGGCTAGTGAGTCAGATGATAGTGATTTTCTGATACTGCCTCGAAGGTCAAAAATGAGTGTTTTCTTGTTGTGGGAACTCATTCTGCCTATAGCCTTGGGGTAACAGCCCTTAAGGCGTAGGGCATGGTCTTGTCTGCTACTTGACAACTGATAAGCTAGAGATAGTATCTACTTGAAAACTATTTTAGCAATTATTAGTTTTAGAAAATTTATATTGGCATAGATTCTTAGTATACTGATTCATATGTAAAATTATTTTTGTCATACTATATGTATGTTTCTGCTTCTGCTTAAGATACTTTGTATACTGATACAAGTTAAGGATATTTTTTCTCATATTGCATTATACATTTCTATCTCTAAGATATTTTATCTATTACAATTGCTAGGTCATTGTCCTCATACTTTACATCTTTTTAAAGACTTTATTTTTATTATGTAAAATAATAGTCTTTAAGCTATACAGGTTATTAAGAACTACAGGTGACAGAGAAACCCTGTCTCGAAAAAAAAAAAAAAAAGAACTACAGGTGAACAGTACCCATGTTTGTAATACTTATGGTAATTAGGTTCTCTAGATGCAGAGAGATGTACTCTGCATAGATAGGTGATCTTCAAGCACTTCAAAGACCTACAGAATATGGCATTTAAATGTTTTAATAATTTAGAATTCACGAGTGCTCATGGCAGCATTGAGCTATTCCGGGGAGAATGGCAGGCACCAGAGATACTCCATACAGAGCTTGTTATCTTCTTGGTAAAACTGACCTGTCCGGCAAATAACTGTCCTTGCCTCAACTGCATGTTGTCCAATCTGGACAAGCGGGATACAAGGAAAAAGAGACTGGTGAGTCTTGCCAAGACAGAGTAGGATAGTATTTCAAATTTTCTACTTCTGAAATTGGTCTGTCAGATATACTAGGCCTACAGATTGCCCCAATGTTTCAGAGAAACTTTGGGTGACTGTCCAGGTAGTCAGCTGTTTCTGTCATTTCTTGCATGTAGTGCAAGGTGCTTGATTGCACATCCTGCTTACTCAGGTAATATTGTTTTCCTTCTAAGGTCTTTGATGGGATTGAAGACTAGACAGTCATAATACTATCTTTTCATATCTTAGCTGAGGTTATTAGGTACATGACTTAGATTCTTCAGGTTAGGACAGCTATTGGAATAGTCTATTATTTGCCAATTACCTATAGCCAGGACATTTAGTATGTTTCTTGCTTGATGTTGTTTTTCTTGGCTGTAGTTCCATTTTTGTTACTACAATTTCTTTTACCTGGACAATACTGATAATTGTTCTTATTGTATATAATTTTGTATTAGGTTTAGAATCTTATTTAGACAAAAGAGACAAGTGTTGTGAGAACTCATTCCGCCTATAGCCTTGGGATACCAGCCCTAGAGTGTTGTCTTGTCTGCTACAAGACAACTGATAAGCTGGAGGGGAAGACTCTTACTCTTATTTGGCATGGTCTGAGACCAAGTGGCCAAGAGGTGTCATGGTTGGTGCTTTTGACCCCTGGGCAGAAAGGCTGGACGAAGGCAGTGGGATCAGCAGTGACATCTGCTTTGCTCGGTATCTGTGAAGTTGTCTTTTCTTTTTCTTTAAGATTTATTTATTTATTTATTTATTTATTTATTACATATACATCAGATTGAATTGTAGATGGTTGTGAGCCACCATGTGGTTGCTGGGAATTGAACTAAAGAACCCTGGAAGAGCAGTCAGTGCTCTTAGTTGTCTTTTCATTGTACCCTTTAATAAACTGGTTATTCTAATTCTGTAGTTCTCATACCATCTTCTTTTCTTTCAGTTACCCAAAGAATGCCTCATTTCAAATAGTGCAGTTCAAATGATTACTCTGGAAGTGAAAAAAATTCAATGCATGGCAGATTTCATTTTGAGTCATTCTGCTCCATTTTATTTTATTTGAAGAGACAGGATCTTACTATGTCACCTACACTGACCTTAAAATCCTAGGCTCAAGTGATCCTCCTGCCTCAGTATCCTTAGTAGCTAAAATTGCAACATGTACCATTTGGTTGGCTTTTTAGTTCCCAAGTTTCTATGTTTGCTTTGCTTGTTTTTATTGCCTACCCACACTACTTTCACCCATGGTCTTTAGGCTAAAAATGTGGAGCAATAGAAGCCAACTTTATGTCTTTATCAAGGTAAAGATTTCCCTTTTGTCTGAACTCCTTGGGAAGTGACTATAGAACACTTTAGTCTTCTTCCTCCACTGCACCTCTTGTCATAAACTACTAACCATCTAAGAGTCATGCAGAGAACAATCATCTCTATATGAAACCATCACTGTTAATTTTGAAAATGAAAGGCTACAAATGGACCACACTCTACAATGTCTGAAGAGTGGACAGGATACTCAGCATACAAGAGGCCAGCCTTCAAGTCCAGCTCCAAAAGCAAAAATCAGCCTACAACTAAAGTTCCTTTTCCAACACAGCACATTTCTTATGTCATTCACATCTCAAAGTTTAAAAGTTTTATCTAGAATTTGCTTAGATGGCTTCTTTTCTCAACTTAATAATCTAAATCATATCCATGAAATGATTTCTCACCTAAATTCACTACATTTTTGGCCCAGAAGGTAGGATCACAATGGAAACGAATTGCTCCATTGGCAGCAGGAACAGGATCACATCGTGCTTTCAAAATATGACGTAACTGAAAAGTAATCTTCAAGGAAAAAAATTCACATTAGTCTTAAAATTAAATGTAGTTCAGGCTAGCCTTGAACTCACAATTCTCTTGCCTCAATTTCCCAAGTGCTGACTGGAATTACAGTTATATGCCACCAAGCTGAGCTACTCTGTATCTTTATATACAGATGGTTACAATAGTCAAAATGCATGTTTATACTTAAAACAGGTTCTTATAATTACAATACAAACATTCTACACTTGTAAATAATAGGTCTATTAGGTAAAAATAAAAATACTATGTTTCTCACCAGACGCTTGCTATACAGTAGTGCTGTGCTGCTGCCACTTGCAATGGCCCAGTTTGTAAAGTTCATAACATGCTTCACCTGCCGGGAAAGGCCTGTGATATCATTCTGCTGCTGCAGTAGCTTCATTTGTCTTTCTTTTGTGACATTCTGAAATAGAACAAGAACTTCACTGAAGCATTTAAAAGGTGACATATAGAAATACCTATATTTCCTTCAAAAAATAGTGGAAGGGAAGCTTATAATTATTTGGTGAGTCCATCAACAATCAGAAGTAACAAAAAGTGGGACTAACCATTCCTGTTCTAAGTGAATCCACTCATTCAGGACATCAGCAAAAGTTCATGGCTTTTCTTTCATCAAATAACTGTGTAAAGTGGTGTCTTCCTACTTTTAAGTTAATCCAACACAATGAGCTGCTTTTGAAGAATCATTTTTATATAATCTTAGCAATACTTTCTGGGTTAAAGAAAATACTGAGTTACTAATGCCACTTTCTAGTATAGTTTGAGGACAAGGTTAAAATTTCTCAAAACAAAGAGAAAATCAAAAATTCCATAGGTTTACAAGTACAATTAGTTAAACTTACATAACAAGGTTCACAAAGAGAAGCCAGTTTCAAGAAAATACTGCAAAGAAGAATAAACTGCTCAAAAGAAACCACTACCCAAGAAGTGGTGGGCAATGTCCTATATCTCACCAAAAATAATCTATCTACTTCTTTGTTAACCATTTTCTCTCTCCAAATTATACAACTTCCATTACTAAGGAATATTTTTCAAAAGGGAACAAGTTCATTTATATTATAAATAAATGGATGAAAGTATTCAACAGACAGAAAGTTGAGCTATAGCCTCACTAGGATATCATAAATTCTGCCAGGCTGTGGTGGCACACAACCTTTTTCAAGTACTCTATGGATTCTAGGTCTACACAGAGGAAAAAAAACTTCAATTCCTTAGCAAAGCTTAGGAAAACTCTCTTTTACAATTTATAAAAGTATTATACAAGAAATAGCAATTTTAAAACTTAACATGTTGCTGGGCAGTGATGGTGCACGCCTTTAATCTCAGCACTCGGGGAGCAGAGGGAGGTGGATCTCTGTGAGTTCCAGGACAGTTTCAAAAAAAATGCTAATAGCATATGGAATATTTATCAGAATTATTTTTATATACACATTAGTCTTGAGGTAGTTTTAAATTCAAAAGCTCTTGAAATGAATTTGCAATGACCACTTTCAGATATATGGGTAAAATGTATTTATGATAAATTAAAATGTATCAAAGATAGCCAGGCAGTGGTGGCATAAACTAATCCCAGCACCCAGGAGACAGAGGCAAACTCTGTGAGTTTGAGGCCAGCCTGTTCTACTGAGCAAGTGCCAGGACAGGCTCCAAAACTGCAGAGAAACCCTGTCTCGAAAAACCAAGAGGAAAAAAAAAAAAGTATCAAAAATAGCTACTATTAACTGCTTTGAATTCATATGGTTATTCTAAAGGAAAAAGCTATTAAGGTTAAAACTCACTGACTACAAGTATAGTAAGGAAGAGACTCCAAACTTTAATGACATGTTCAAGATTTTTAATATCAATATTGTTCAATGGGAAATGTATTTGAAAGACAAAAATTCAGATATTTTATTCACAAGACTTCTTTATATGCATATCTTTAACGGAGTCTATGGATCAATGAAATACAAACAACCCTCTAAAAATAATCTAATGTTTATCCTTTAACTCAACTTCTTTAAAATTCACATTTGGACAGGGAGTGATGGCACATGCCTTTAATCTCAGCACTTAGAAGGGGGATTTCTGTGAGTTCCAGGCCAGTCTGGTCACAGAGTGAGTTCCAGGACAGCCAGGAACACATAAAGAAACTCAGCCTAAATAATCACTTACTTAACTTGCATGCACACACGCACGCACACACGCAAACAATGGACATTTCAGATTTTCTGAGAACACATCAACTTTGGGCAGTAAAGATTTAGATTAATTAAAACTTAATTAAGTTGGGGCCAGACAGTAGTGGTACGTGTCTTTAACCCCAGCACTCAGGAAGCAGAGGCAGGCAGATCTGTGAGTTCCTGGCCAGTCTGATCTACAGAGCAAGTTCCAGGTCAGCCAAGGCTACACAGAGAAACCCATTCGGGGGGGGGGGACTTAATTTGGATTTCAAAACTGTACTAGATTCTCAGAAAATTTGTAACTACATATTAACCTCAAAATATGAAACACAGAGACCTAATAGTATAAAATTAGTAATTAAGTTCAAATGTGGAACACTTTTGGCAAATTACAAAAATACTAAGTGGCTCAAACATAAGCCCAACTGCATTTATATAAAGAAGCTAAATGAAAGTCTCTTACATAAAGGAAGAAAAGAAATTCAAAGGGCTTGCTTTGTCTTCATTTACATCATGCTTTAGTAATTTGTTCCTAAGACAGTGTCACTATTACCTAGCTAGTTACATGGCTTTAAAAAATAAAAAAAAAGATGTTTTATGCCAGGCACGCCAGTACATGCCATTAATACCAGCACTCGGAAACAGACATAGGCTATAGGTTCAAGACTATCACCGTGATTTCCAAGTGGACCAAAAAGGGGGAAAAAAATAAAAGTGCTATTAAAATTAACTACAAAGCAGCTAAACATAAAAAGTTCACTTTACCAGTAGTACCAATCCTGGATCTTCGGGAAAATGCTGCAAGGAAGAATATCCCCCAACCCATTTAAAAGAGCTTTCAATAAACATTGGGAACAGCTGAAGAGCAAGAGAAGCAGTTTTTGTTTTATTTTGGCTTTAACCATACCTCTAGCTGCTGTAAGAGAGATTTTCCTTTCTTATTAATTTCATTGATAAGGGTAAAAATGGCCACTTTAATTTCCTGCTCTACTCGTTTGTTCGTCTCGTTTACTTCTTTAATCCTGAATAAGAGAAATAAAATATATCATTAGGTTATCAACTTGACCTGTGTCTGAATCATCCAACTAAGGCATTTTTCCAAGCAATTAAAGTTAAATATTTGTCAACATGTACAACTTATGTTGCAGCATCCCTAACCACTTAGATCCAAACAAAGAATGAATTCAGTATTTAGTAATTTAAATTAAGCTCATAAAGGCCAGTTTATTCATCTGTAGACCACTATCAAATTATTATGTCATGAATGTGATACACAAATATCTAACAATACTGTCAATCAAATTTGCTACATATATTGTCTAATCCTTATTAAAAATTCCATGTAAGATGCTTTCTGCAAAAAAAATGCAAAAGAATAATACCACAATGAATAGTTACAACCCTTTGAAAGAACAGCAATTTAACTTATAAGCAGTTATTTTCAATTCAAACTTTATCACTTTAAATGTGGGTTTAATTAAGATTGTTCCATAGTTTCCTCTCAAATTTGCTTCACACTATAGGTAGAAAAAAAATTCATATTAAATCATTAGGGGTAGGGAGTACACCTGTTAGCAGTAACCCAGGACCTCTTTTATTGCTAAGAATGTGTTTTATCCCCAAAGATTAAGAAACAATCCATTTTTAAAAATAGCTACCACATATTTTATAAATGAATATATTCACCTATTACAATTGAATTTTAAAGTTCTGGTTACAACTATTAAGTGCTGGATTGCTTTCATATTTATAAAATGAAAGCAAACAATATCATTAATAAGTAAAATGTCAATACCCAACCATAATATCTAGTCTTTATGTATTCTGCTTTTGTATACTTTCATTAGCCAAATACATATACAATTTAAACACACTCTCAGAAACATAATGCAATTTTTCTCCTTTTCCTGCATATCACCGCTTGTTTATTTACCTGCAAATTTTGTTTAATTCTGTTCTTACTAAAGTAAATGGAAACAGTAAATAAAAAATAAAGTTCCTTCCAGGCAGTGAGTTCCTGCAAGTTCGAGGCCATCCTGGTCTACAACGTGAGTTCCAGGACAGTCAGGACTATTACACAGAGAAAGCCTGTCTTGAACTCCCCCAAGAGTGAGAGAGAGTGAGAGAGAGAGAGAGAGAGAGAGAGAGAGAGACAGAGAGAGACAGAGAGAGACAGAGAGAGACAGAGAGACAGACAGAGACAGAGAGAGACAGAGAGAGACAGAGACAGAGAGAGAGACAGAGAGAGACAGAGAGAGACAGAGAGAGAGAGAGGACTGTTACACAGAGAAAGCCTGTCTTGAACTCCCCCAAGAGTGAGTGAGTGTGTGTGTGTGTCCGTATACATACATACAAATCATTGGTAATATGACATACAGTCCTCCAACAGAAAACAACTAAACCAAAATACAGAAGTCATGAAGCAGACTGGAAGCAGAAACAGCCTCAGATAGACTTATTGTACTGATAAACAAGTCCACTAAAAACTAAGTTTTTAAAATAATGTGGGCTGGAGATGACTCTGTGATTAAAAAGCAAAAAGCACTTGCTACTCTTGCAGAGTTCATTTCCAGTAGCTACACCTGGAGGTTCATAACCACCTCTAACTCCAGTTCAAGAGATTCTAATCCCTTCTTCTGGCCTCTGTGGGCACAAATTCGTTCTTGTACAGATAAACAGGAGAACACACACAGAGATAGGTATTTTTAAAATATGTTGGCTTTTTTTGTTGTTGTTTTTGTTTTTTTATTGTTTTTCAAAGCAGGGTTTCTCTCTGTCTTTGGAGGCTGTCCTGAAACTAGCTCTTATAGACCAGGCTGGTCTCCAACTCACAGAGATCCACATGCCTCTGCGTCCCAAGTGCTGGGATCAAAAGTGTACCACCACCACCCCGCTTAAAGTATTTTTTTTATGTAATAAAATTTTTAAAATAGGGAGGGGAGTTGTGCAGAGAAGACTGATTAACAGAATTTTGCTGCAGAGTTAAAGACTGAAGTTCAGATCCCAGCACCCACACATCAGACTCATGGATACTGGGTACCAATCCTGGATCCTCTTTTGGTCTCACTGAAGATGAAAAGTTGCATCATACATGAACCATCACTTTTAGTTGTTCAAATATTTAATACTTGTACATCTTATATGTCATTTTACCATCACAAACTAATGATTTTAATATTCAAGGCAAAGCTTCAATATCACTGAGTCTATACAATTAGCTACAATCCTATTCATACTTTCAGGAATTTAAAGGTTTAAAGTGTTTCAGTTCTAAGCATGTCTTTCCAGTAACAAAAGTCCTAAGCTTACTAATTTATCCTGTTTAGAATGTATTACCACTTTCCCTTATAAATAGCCTATCTTGTTTATAAATATAACTAAGCTAGCCCTGTAGATCCAAAGCTGCAGGATCGCCATGACACAGGGCAACAACAGGCTATCAAAGAGGAGTCCCAGTGAAGGCCTCAAAACAGACCAATGACTTCTTTTTTTTCCATAGCTGAGGACCAAACCCAGGGCCTTGCACTTGCTAAGCAAGCTAAATCCCAACCCTGACCAACGACTCTTTACAGTGAACACTTGCAAGTAAAGACATACGGACAAAAGGGTTTACTGCATGCCTCACTGTGTCACGCTACAGCTTCCATGACAAGATTGATTTTTCCATTTTTTACTTCTCACTTATATTTTATTTAATTTGGGGGGATGTTGAAGGGACAGGGAAATGAAAGGGATTGACCCACTATGATGTGAAAGACACAAAGAAACAAAAAAAGATATAGAATAATTAGAAAATAATCAGGATGATGGTTATGGCAATGATATACTGGGTGCTTAGGATGCCAAAATCTGTATTGCAGATTCACCTTATAATGCTGCTAGTAAGATAAGTCATTGTGTGTGTGTGTGGGGGGTGTGACAGGGTTTCTCTGTAGCTTTGGACACTGTCCTTGAACTCACTTTGTAAATCAGTGTGGCCTTGAACTCAGAGATCCGCCTGCTTCTGCCCCCAAGTGCTGGGATTAAAGGCAGGTGTCACCAGTAGTTTTGAATGCTTGTTTCACAGGAAAATAAATTTGTTCACTACTGCGGATTTTGTGTAAGCTGTGTTGCGTTTGCATACATACGTGTAGGTGAGAGCAGCATGTAAAGGCTGAGAGGTGCTGGATGCCCTGCTCTACCACTGTCACCCTAATTTCCTGGAGAAGGTCTTCACTGAGCGTGGGGCTTGGCTAGTGGGCAGCAAGCCCCAGTCATGCTCCTGTTTCTAACTCTCACTGCTCTGTATTATGGTGGGTGTACAGCCTCGCTCAGCTTTCTTTGCGATGTTGGGTTATTAGCTAATCATGCTTACACATCAAAAATTTCTACCCTCTAAAGCCTTTGTCTACTGTCAATATTCTCTTTGTATCTTTCATACTAACTTGCTTTTCAAAGTTCAAAGCTTATATACATTGAAGTCTTATTAATTAATTATAAAAATTTAAAGATGTATCCTAAAATGTTTTAATGTTTTTGGTAAACTTTAATTAAGAAATGCATAACGCTCAACTTATTTTACTATTAAAAATGTTTAATGTAGTAGGAAAATAAATTAAATCTGGATAAACTCTTCCTTAACAATCCTTACAGCAAATTATTTTTATGCAACAGACTTACCTATTCTGCACTTGTGTAGCTGCAAAATGAACATAATTCTTCTTTTCAAGAAGCTTAGCCAACAGATTTTCAATTGCACCTTTCTGATTCTGAAAAGCTTCTTCCAAAAACTGATACCTTGAAACAAACAAAAACTATATTCAAATCAGAAAATTTATAATTTATAATTAACATTTGGGAAATAGCAGTTACATGAGTGTTGAAGTAATTCTATTTGCGGCTGGTCAGTCACTACAATAGCAACTTTTAATGGCAATCCAATACTATCTGTCTGAAAAAGCCACTATGAAAGAAAAAAACTTTCCTCAGCAAGTACTCTTACTTACATCAGAGTTTTAATTGAGGGTTCTATTTTTTAATCCAAATATCTGAATAAGGTACATACAATTTAAATCATAAAATACAAAACACTATACAAATACTATCAAAATCACTATAAGTTCCAAAATAGCTGCTATCAGTCTGTGTTTATCTACTCGGTGACTGAGTTCTGTTAGTCAAAGTCAGATGCTAGGCAAGTACTCTAAAATTGATCTATACCCACAGACCTAATTAAGCATTTTAAAATAGAACTGAATAAAAAAATTCAACTGTAGTCACAATACACATTCAACTTTGCATCTGCTTTTTACTATCTACTATGTTTTATGAGGCTTTTCAAAGAAATTCTATCAAATAAAGTCAATGTAATTTTACTCTAAAAATACCAACATTGATTGATATATATCCTTAAATTTTCTAATTTTAACACGAGAAATATAGATGTAATGTTCAAGTCCAAAACCCTTGGCTAAAAGGATACTACAATAGTTTTACTGCAATTTTACAAATTATTCATTAAATCAACAAATTGATTTTTATATGCTTCTGTCTCTGTTGTTCAGTGTACTTTCTGTGTAAAATTCACATAACTCACAGAAGAGTTATAAGCAGGCACAAATATGCACTGATACCACACTGGTAAGATATAATCTGTACTAAAAATCCAGTATCTAAAAATGGTTTCAAGACCTAGGGAAGCTTCACAGAGAAGTTCTGCACTTAGCAGAGAAATGCTTAGTACATTACTTACTGCATTTTCAACAGGGTCAAAGAATATACAATGTTAGAATATAAAAATGTAATTTAAAATAAACTAATTTAAAATCCAGGGCCAGGCATAGTATGTCATTTCTTTGTTTTGTTCTCTATGCAATAAGAAGCCCTTGAAGAATTCTAAACAGAATATGAAAATCCAGGCCACTCTAGAAAGATCATCCAACAGAAATAGAAAAATAAAAACAGCATAAAACCTAAAAGAAACAGCATTATGAGTAGTTCAAACAGAAGTGTGGGCAAGAGATCAGGGTACGTTTGCTGGCTTACTTGCCAAACCAGCTAAAAACTATTGATTTTTATGAGATCAGATGTTTTAGTGATATGAGAGGTCAATTAAGGCAATGTTAAGACTAAAACAACAAAATCAGATGAGCTCATTGGTATGTGCAATACTGGCATGAAAGTTACAGGGGTAACCAACTTCTTTGGAGGTCATATTTAAGGTCTGCTCCACAGAATGGAATTTGAGTCCCCTACTGTAAATCTGGCCAAAAGCTAAGCAAGTTGTCTAACTGCCTTCTAAATATGGTCAGATCCATAGATTAGGCCTATTCTCAGCCCTAACCAGAGAAGCTTTTTCTCTGCAATACCCAGCAAATTGGTCTAAGTACTGAAAATGAGTCTCTACTGAGTGGTCAGCCCTGAATGGGACACCTATATTAACACCACCATCCCACTACCCCACTCCTGCCTTAGCTGAGATAGAATCACCGAAGGGCTTAGGAATATAGGCAGACGACAGGAAGGAGAGCTGTGAACTGTTGTCTTCAGTATACACGCAACATGGTCAGTGGACCTATGAACTAAGAACTATCAAAGAATGAATACAAGATATTCTACTGGGGAGAGAAAGAGTGTTGAGTGCCTAACCAAAACAGAGCCAGACTTTTTTTCCCTACAATCTTAACACTTATGAGACTCATGAAGAACTCCCATCAACACTCTGGCAAGTTCTGAGGTCAGTCTGGACTACAAAGTGAGGTCCATACCAGCTTGAGATAAGGTGGGACCCTGTCTCCAAAAAAAAAAGAGAGAGAAAGAAAAATTACAGTTTTGTTTCTGAATACTAAAATCACAAATGGAAAGGCAAGAACTGAAATTAGTAAGAAAACTATGAACTTAGAGGTATTTGTCTTCAGTGAGAATCTGAGCTAAAACATTTAAATGCTATACAATTAACATAAAAGAACACTTGTTACCAAAAAGGGAAGCTTTTTAATAGGGGGATTAAAAAAGGAAGAATGGAGAACAATATAAGGGAAAATGAATCCTAGCCCCCCTTGAGAGGCAGAGGCAGGAGGCAAAGCTTGGCTTCAGGAGACCACTTCAAAAACAAATAAAACAAAGTATGGCTATCTGTATTACAGAAAACAACCGATAAGGTGCTAACTTAAACTTTTTAATGTGGTAAAATATACATAAATATACAGTAAATCTATATAATAAAATATACTGGCTTAAACAATTTTTAAGAGTTCAATGTTCATATGGCATGTTAATTCCAACAATTGACTACTATTTCTCAATAAAAAGAATAGGTTAAATAGAGCTGTGGGGGGGAGGGGAGGAGAGGGGAGAAGAGGAATGCCACTTAACATGGTGCAAAAAAATAGAATAGTACTTTTCTTGGATGAGGTAAGAGGAATTTTTTTGAGTAAAGGCCGGGCGTTGGTGGCGCATGCCTTTAATCCCAGCACTTGGGAGACAGAGGCAGGCAGATCTCTGTGAGTTCAAGGCCAGCCTGGTCTAAGGGAGTTCCAGGACAGGCTCCAAGACAATATAGAGAAACCCTGTCTCGAAAAACCAAAAAAAAAAAAAAAAAAAAAAAAGGATGTTATGAACCTTCCCATTCAGTTTATCAGAATCTAATGGACTGATTGAATCTATACTTTCCCCCTTGATAGCCACTGTACATGAAAAAAATTTGTCATAGATATTTCTATTAGACATCTTAAGCATACAGTGGAAGTAGCCTCAAAACTCAATTCACAGATAGCATGAAAAAACAAAGGATTAGAAATTACTCTATGTCTAGCCTTAAACTCTTAACATCCTAGAAGTTTCTCTTCTGTACTCCCCACTCCACCACAGGGTTTCTCTGTGTAATAGCTCTGGTTGTCCTGGAACTCACTCTGTAGACCAAGCTGACCTCGAACTCACAGAAATCCGCCTGCCTCTGCCTCCGGAGTGCTAGGATTAAAGGCCCAGGTATAATGAATTATTCTGTAAAGTTACAAAACTCGTAAAGTGAACAATAGAAAACAATACTCCAAAGCTACAAAGAAACCCTGTCTGGGGGGGAAAAAGTAGAAGTATTTAAATAGACATTAACTCTATAGAGTTACATATCATTCAAAAGTCATCAGAAAGACAAAAGAATAAAGAAATAAAGCTTAATGGGCCAAAAGTAAAGAAAAAGGATTTACAGATCCAACAAGAAAAAATAACAAGAGAACAAAACAAAAAAGAGAAAATTAAAAAAAAACAAACAGCAAGGCTAGAGATGTGTAGTTAAATGGTGGAGTACATATTTAGCATGTCTACGATCCTAACTTCAATAAGCAGGACCACAAAAGACAAACAGTATGCTTAGACATGTAACATAAGGAAGTATTTCAATTAAAGAGAATGGGAACAAGGAGACGACTCCACTGGTAAAGTACTTGCTATGTAAACCTGAGGCCCTGAGTTCAGGTGCCCAGCACCCACATACAAAGCCACCTAGGTGTGTGGTGCATGACTGTAACCCCCAGGGTACAAAGATTCTGGAGGCTTGCTGACCAGCTAGTCTAGCCAATCTGAAAGCCCAAATTTTAGCAAAGGAATTGTCTGAAAAAAGTAAAGCAAAGGCCCGGTGGCGGTGGCGTCGGTGGTGGCGGTGGCGGTAGCGGTGGCGGTGGCGGTGGTGGTGGTGGTGGTGGTGGTGGTGGTGGTGGCGGCGGCGGCGGCTGCACACCTTTAATCCCAGCACTCAGGAGGCAGAGTCAGGCAGATCTCTGTGAGTTCGAGGCCAGCTGGATCTACAGAATGAGTTCTAGGACAGGCCCCAAAGCTATAGAGAAACCGTGTCTGGGAAAACATACATGGATGGATGGACAGACGGACGGACGGACAGAAAATATTTTAAACTTTAGTGCAGCCTGAGTATACAGTGCTTATGAGCACCAAATAATTCGAGATCCTAGGCCTTCAAATTGACTTACCTCTTAATAGCTCATCTAGAACAAATTTCAGGCCTGCATTTTCTATTTGTGGTGTCTTACAGAGTTTTACTATCAAATATTTGCTGAATTGGGGAACTATACAGTGACTTCCAGGCCAGCATGAGCTATAGAGTCCTATCTTAGAAAAAGGAAAAACAGACAAACAAAAAACTAACAGAACAAAACACAACAGAAAACCTATAAAAACTAAGGGGGTCTGAGAGACCAACTGCTGTACTATAATTGTCAGACATGAAGGTATTCTACAGTTAGCCATTCAGTCAAGAACTAAAATCTTTAAGAGATTCTCTAAGCTTTTAGAGAATGTCAACAATAATTGGTTATAGATGATAACAAGATTTTAAAATCTGGAGATCAGGAGGGAAGAGAAAGAAAGAATGGCCTAAACAACAGCAAGGAACTGTCTCATACCTCCAGGTCCAATGACAGGTAAACATAAAAAGGTCAGTTAAGAGGAGCACAAGGGAAGCAGTGCCTAATTTTAAGGGGAAAAGACCTATAAATTGATAGAAGTTGAGATACAATCTACTGATGGCAAACCATAATTAATTAGTAAGCAAAGAAAAGGAGCTAGGCACATTATGAGTCTTATGGGAATTAATATATAATGGAGGATTCCTGGAAATGTAATACTATCTTGGGGTGTCAAGAATAAAGGATAATGTTAATCTCAGCAGACTGAAGGCTAAGGGTGATAGCGAAATTTTAAAAGGTAATAGTGAATAGAGTTAAAGTCTGGGGCTTTTCTTTGTAACCTATCAATGGAAAAGAAACTCTAGTTTTACACTAAGTCAA